TATTTATTATTATTATTATTATTATTATTATTATTATTATTATTATTATTATTGTTATTGTTATTGTTATTGTTATTGTTATTGTTATTGTTATTGTTATTGTTATTATTGTTATTAATGTAATTGTTTTACTGCTATGAATATTATTGTTATTATGATTGTTATTAGTATTGCCAGTATTGTCTTTATCTTAATTATAAACATTACCATTATTATTATTATTGTTGTTGTTGTTGTTTTTGTTGTTATTGTAATTTTTATTGATATTGTATTATTATTATTATTATTATTATTATTATTATTATTATTATTATTATTATTATTATTATTATTATTATTTATTATTATTATTATTATTATTATTATTATTATTATTATTATTATTATTATTATGTTATTGTTATTATTATTACTATTATTATTATTATTATTATTGTTATTGTTATTATTGTTATTATTATTTTTACTATTGTTGTTATTGCTATGATTATTATGATGATTGTAATGGTGATTATAATAATAATTATAATAATGACAATTATAATGATGATGATGATAATGATGATGATTATTGTTAGTGTTTGTTATAGTTATAATTGTTAGTGTTTTTATTATTATTATTATTATTATTATTATTATTATTATTGTTATTATTATCATCATTCTTTTTATTATTGTTATATTACCTATATTATTATTATTATCATTATTGTTGTTATTATTGTTATTGTTATTGTTATTATTATTATTATTATTATTATTATTATTATTATTATTATTATTATTATTATTATATTATATTATTATCATTATCATTATCATTATCATTATCATTATCATTATCATTATCGTTATCGTTATCGTTATCGTTATCGTTATCGTTATCGTTATCGTTATCGTTATCGTTATCGTTATCGTTATCGTTATCGTATTGTTGTTGTTGTTGTTGTTGTTGTTGTTGTTATTGTTATTGTTATTGTTATTATTGTTTTGTTATTATTATTATTATTATTATTATTATTATTATTATTATTATTATTTTATTATCATTGTTATTATTATTATATTATTATTTATTATTATTATTATTATTATTATTATTATTATTATTATTATTATTATTATTATTATTATTATTATTATTATTATTATTATTATTATTATTATTATTATTATTATTATTATTATTATTATTATTATTATTATTATTATTATTATTATTATTATTATTATCATTGTTATAATTATTATTATTATTATTATTATTATTATTATTTATTATTATTATTATTATTATTATTATCATTGTTTTCATTTTTATTATTATTTTATTTTTTATTATTATTATCATTATTATTTTATTGTTGTTATTATTATTATTATTATTATTATTATTATTATTATTATTATTATTATTATTATTATTATTGTTATTATTTTGTTATTATCATTTATCATTATTGTTATCATTAATAATGCTAACAATTTTTTCTTATTATTATTATCATCATTTTTATTGTTAATTGTAACAGCAATATATTGTTAGTAGTTGTAGTAGTATTGATAGTTGTTATAGTTAGTAATAGTAAAACTAGTGCTAGTACTAATGTCATTAAAGTTACTATTAATTTTGTTGATATTATTGTTATTATTAGTGATATTTAGCAGTATTTCTTTTACTTTTGATCATTTTAAAAATGCCTAGAAAGACCAGATGAAGTTGATTTATTTACATATCATGTTCATTAAAGATATTCTAAGTATGCACTTAACCCTTTGGCCGGTACGAAAGGCAGAAGCGCTCACTACTGATGTCTCTTTTGTGGTAAAATTTAGTCATTCTTAAAGTACTTACTGTATCTTAGATGAATCAAGTAATAAAGACAAGTGATGCAAATAGATGCATTGCTAGATAGATAGACAAAATAAGTAAATGCACAAATAGATAGAGAGACGGAGAGTTTCATAGATTCTTAGACAGACAGACATGTATAGCTTTAAAAGTGTGAGTATAATAGGTGATAAAAAAAGTATTCATTTGTTTAAGGTACATATCATCAGGTACGATTTAGGAGAGTTGTTTTTATGCAATTTCGAAAAGTTATAAAATCTACTAAAAGATTTAGATTATTCTCTCATGTATGCACAAAGGCTTGATATATGTATGATATATGTATCTATCTGTCTATCCATCAATTTCTCTATATATGTATATCTATCTATCTATCCATCAATTTCTCTATATATGTATATAGTTATCCATCTATCTGCCAAAAAAATATATCATTCTCTCATGTGTACACAAAGGCTTGATGTATATGTATGATATATCTATCTATATGTCTATCTGTATCTAAATCTCTCTCTGTATATGAATATATATCTATCTATCTATCTCAATATATATGTATTTATATGTACATATGTAGATATAGATAAATATTTACATTATCTGTTGTATTTTGTGTCTTGCATTTCAACTTATCAGGTTGATATTTGACTAACAGTTTCTGAAAATTTTCAGGTCAATGCCTTTTACAATGAAGTTCAACAATTGGCTCGAGTTGAACATGAGAATATCATCAAGTTATATGGGGCATGCACATCCGATGCCCATAAGTGCCTTGTTATGGAATATGCTGATGGTGGATCCCTCTATCATTGTAAGTTGACGATGAGATGATCGCATTCCTTAGTGTTTATGTCAGTATGAATGTGTTCTTTCATTTCACAGAGCATAGATAGGAGTTACCTTAGAATGAATGGGATTGGATCATGTTCTATTTGATTGATAGCTGTTAGCTTTGACGTACATTTTATTGACTGGGTTTTACTGTGAGCAAGTTGTGATAAAGGGCAGCATTTCTTTATGGTTTCATAGTTTTGATTTATTTTTAGTATTAGAAGATATTTTTTCTGTTGATATAAGATGTGCTACTTACTAGTAAGGAATTTAACTTCAACAAAACGGATATTATTTATTTTGTAAAGTGAGATGTCGAAGGGCAAAAGTTTACCCGAGTGGGATATACTTTACAGGTTACAGCATTGAGATTTTACTGTAGGTCAAAGATGTTTATTACCTTTTCTATCCTGAATATCTAAATACACTCAGGTTCAGCTTAACTTCCAGCTTGATTGGCCTCCCAGCTGCAAAAAAAGGACAAGATTTTTAAAATTTCACTAAGGCAAATTTTGGTGGCAGGCATTTGAAAAGCTCAATTTTACAATTAAGACAAATTATATTTTGCTGACGATTCACATCTCGAATACAGTTAGTGTAAGTAGCGTGCAATGTTGAAAAAGCTCTTACAGGACTCTTGCGCATTTGAATAAAAGTGAGATTGATTGTTCAGAATATGTGAATAACATACTTTTAGGATTTTTTTATTTTTTGTTTTATTTATTTATTTATTATTATTTTTTTTTATGTTAAAAAATAAACTGTGTATGTAGATGTATTTATAGATCTGTAGTTGTATGATTTGTAAATAGAAAAGTATATTAAAAGGTAAACCTATGATATTTATTAGTAAGCAGAGGAAAAGACAGGTTTTTAATTTTGGTTTTGTCAAGGATATTGCCACGTAAACAACCAAAGCATTGGAAATATTTTGACGTTCAAACACAATATTTAGTAAACGCTAGATGTATTATATATATATATATATATATATATATATATATATATATATATATATATATATATATATATATATATATATATATATATATATATATATATATGTATATGCATGTGTAGGTATGTGTGTATATACATACACATTTTATTTGTTTTTTATAAATACGTATATATGTATATGTTTGTATATGTATGTATATATGTACAGTCAACAACAAAAGCGGTGACGCCTCGTCAGACCTGGCTTGAAGAGATCATGCCCTTCTTGTCCTGAAAGGAGGCTCATGTTCAAACCACCAGGACATAGTTAGGATGGTTTGAATGCGAGGAGGAGGGAAAATACGGAAATCAGGCAAAGAAGTACAATAATGACTGAAATACATATGGAAAGAGAGAGGGAGGCTTTTATACCTATCTAGTTGTTAATTTGATGGATATATTGGAGACCTACATTAAGAAATAAGTTATCGTATATTATTTTGAAGATAATTATCATGAAATCTTATCACATTGTTTTATTCTAATTCCTTATCATATTTTCTATATAAAAGATCCTTAGATATTGATACAAATATTCGTCAGACGGAAATATCCTTCGTTTGCATTATCCCAGAGCTGTATATAAATGTATGGATTTGCATTATCCTAAGCAGCTACTCTCTCTCTTGCTCTTCTCCATTTTATATCACCTGGATCCACAATGTAGATAATGGTAAACTTTTAATATGTTATTTTGAAAATAGGATAATACTCATGACAATGCCATTAAATTTTCCAAATGTTTACAATTATTTCATTACCAAAAATAACAAAATGAATGTGTAAAAGATGGATTGAATAGTAGATATTGAGAGTAGTGGGTTTCTTGAATAGTTTGGAGGGGGAATGCCGACAAGGTGTTGGGCATTAGGCGCTGAAATGACAAATAAAAGTGTAAGAGTCAAGGTACAGTCAGGGCTAAGGAAATATTCCCTTACCCTTGGGCAGAGTGAAGCTAGACTCGGCCCTTCGTGGGGTGAGTGAACAGGTGTGAGCTGGGACGGGGGTTCACTGGGAATTGCCCAGTCTGCCAAGGTCTAAAGACTGTCACCCAATAATTTGAAACTAAATAATATGTTAACAGTATAAGTTTCACAGCACTTACATCCTATATACCCCATCATTATATTAATGCACCGCTGCACACATTCACTGCATTTCATTACACATCATTTATTTTCACCAACAGTTTTGGAAACAATATAATAAATCAGGTTGACTGATGATGCACTTTGAATCTCAAACTTTAAACTGATATAATAGGTATAAATGTTTTGTGAGGGGCTTAGCCAAGTGGCCCATCATACACAAGCTAACC